TAAAGTCACAAACACCTTTTAATCTTCACAATGATAGTCATCATTATCTTAATCTACATAGCTTATGAACTCTATGACTTTTCACAATAAAACTATCTTTTATACAAATCCAGTGAGGTTTTGTTTTGTTGGTTGGTCATATCATCCTTTTAGTTTGGTTTGGTTTGTACTGACTCTTACAATTGATTTGCTCACTAGGCATAAATATATATAGTCTCCTTTTCTGTACGTCTTCACTTCTCCATCTAAAAGTAAAGGCATATTTAGATAGGGGAACACGTATCTATGGTTTAAAGTCTCTGATTTAAAGTGCAATTGTAGGATTTTGTGTTTGTTTTTATTTTATGTTTTGTCTTATTTTGATATTGATTCCTTTTGTTTTATTTTGTATTGGTTCATATGGACTCTTACAATTGAATTACTAATCAGTTACAAATATACATAATCTCCTTTCTTCACCAACATACCCTTCCCCACCCAAAATTAAAGGTGTATTTTGGTAAAGGAATATCTACAACTAACTTAGATTTTAGAGTAGGCAATGTTGTGTTAGGATCATGAACTGACTCTCAGCCTTATTTTCTACAGTGGTATAGACCACAAGGTCTCCTGTTCTCTTTCTTCATCTAATACCTCTATGACATTGTCTGACTTCTCTGACCCATAGATCTCTCTGAAAAACTATTCCTCTCCATCCCTCCCTTGCCTAACAACCTTAACTTTTTTCAACTGATAGACAAGTGTTAGCATCAGTGTCTTACCACAACTAAAATCTAATCTTACACTTAATGATCTCAACAAAATCTAACCCCAGATAAGCAAATCCCAACAAAATAGAAAAAAACATCTGGCAAATCCACCTAGAACAGAGAGAATAACCTGTTAGTAAGACCACAGTCCCATACAAACTTACAAGCAAAAGGGACTCCAAATGGGCAGGAAAAAAATCACAGAAATACAAGAAAAATGGCAAGTCAATGTAGTTTAATTCCCCCAGAAAATAACCAGATGATAGGGGGACAATCAGGGACCTTCACAAAAAACTGCTGAGAGCCAGGCACCAGTGGCTCATGGCTTTAATCCTAGCTACTTAGCAGGCTAATATCTGAGGATCACTGTTCAAAGTCAGCCCAGGCAGGAAAGTCCATGAGACTCATATATCCAATAAACTACATAGAAAAAGCCAGAAGTAATGCTGTGGCTCAAGAATTAGAGCATTAGCCTTGAGCACAAAGAAGTTCTGGGACACCACCCAGGCACTGAGTTCAAACTCCAGGACTAGCAAACAAACAAACGAAAATAAAAACAAAAAAAAACCACAAAAAACACCAAACATTGCTGATAAATATGATTTTTTCTCATATGTGGAAGCTAGATCTAAAATAAATCAGGACATGATAACTTATACAGCACTCTAGGCATTCACATACAGGGAGACCAAAGGCTGACACACTTAGGGGAGAAACACAGAGACACAATGCATCCGTGCCTCTGATCATGTAAAATCATATTTATCAAAATTTAAAGAAGTCATTATATTGAAATTATTTAAATATAGAAGAAATTTCTACAATCCACACTCAGTTGAGACATGCCCCCAAGCGAAAGATACTTTTATTTGCTTATCTGTCTTTGTTTTTCAGTTATGGTGATTGAACTCCAGTCCTCTCACTTCATAAATGCTGTAATTTCAGTCTTTTTTTTTTAATACCACCTCACTATGTAGTCCAGGCTGGCCTTAAATTCCTGTTCCTCCTATCTCACTTTTCCATTTTCTGGGATTATCAATGTGTGCCACTATATTTGGTTTTAATATTATCTGTAAGACATTTTTTTCCAAACTTGAGTTCATAAAGGCATTCTTTTTATTGTAGTCTTTACTTGTTTTAGGAGTTATCTTTAAACAGTCTTTAATTTATCTCTAATTGATTTATGTAGGTGGTTTAAGGAAAACCCCTATTTCTCTTATTTGAGAGATAAACCTTTCAAGATCAATATCACTTATTGAATAATTTCCTTCCTTCTCACTGGTTTGGCCCTCCACCTTTGTTATATAGAGTTTCCCAAACTGCTGATTAAGTTGGAGATAGGGGTCTCTCTGACTATTCTGAATTACTTGGCTCTCAATTATAATACCTAGCTCTCAGCTTCCTGAGTAGCTAAGATTATAGGCATGGGTAACTTGTTCATATTGAAGTGGGTTTTTTTTGGTTTATTTATTTATTTTTTGAACCTGCCATGGGGCTGGAACTCAGCGTCTGAGCAATTTCCCTGAGCAGTTTTGCTCAAGGCTAGCAGTGCATACTTGAGGCAAACTTCCACTTCTGGCTATTTGGAGATTAATTGGAGATAAGAATCTCACAAGCTTTCCTACCTGGGCTAGCTTCCGAAAGCAATCCTCATATGACAGTCTCCAGAATAGCCAGGATTACAACTCTGACCAACTGGCACCCAGCCTTATGGGAGACTCTCATATTTGAGCCAAATACTTGCTAGCTCTTTCATCTTAAGCAAATCACCCTATATCTTGATAATTCAGCATCTCCTGCATAATACAGTTATTTTATCATAATATTTTATATATGTGTGTATCACTACCCCAGCTGGAACAGGCTCACACTGTTTTGTTTTTGTTTTTGTTTTTTGCTACGGTTTGGCAATCTATAACTTGAGCCAAGCTTCTAGCTGGATTGAAAACAAAATCAAGAAAGGAAAGGAAAGGGGAGAGAAGGGAAATGAAAAAAGAAAAGAAAATTTGTCCTATTTAACCTTAGCTTTAATTTCAAGTTATTATTCGAATGTGTTTAGGTATGGTATGTGTGGGGAGTGGGGGTTGTTTCTTTGCAGATAAGAATCTCAGAGACTTTTCCTGATTGAGCTGGCTTTGAACCATGATACTCAGGTCTCTGCAGCCTGAGTAGCTAGGAATAGAGGAATGAACCTCAGGTTCCCAGCACTACTTACATTTTTCAGTATTTGATTTCTATTAGGAAATGAGGAGAATGAAGAATACATCCCAGCCATGTCCTATAATTGTAGACCATTGTTTGTAAATAATATATTCAGCTGATTCATGAAGCATAGCATCAACATACTTCCTTCCTGGATCATCTCTCTCTGCTGACTAGATTGCCCTTTATCCATTACTGATTTCACTTTAAATCTAGCACCAGACAAAATCCTTTCTCAATAAAATAATAATAATAATGAGTGGCTCAAGTTTGGAGCCTTGACATCATTGAGAAATTTTGAAAACTCTCTCATGCTTGAACATTGTGTACTATGCATAAAAAATCCCTTGGAATTATGAAGAGAGTTTTTTTTTGGGGGGGGGGTATGGTCGTGGGGCCTGAACTATGGGCCTGGGTGCTGTCCCTCAGCTTTTCACCTCAAGGCTAGCACTCTACCAATTGAGCCACAGTGCAACTTCCAGCTTTTTTACTTTTTGCTTATGTGGTGCTGAGGAATTGAACCCAGGGCCTCATGCATGCAAGGCAAGCACTCTACCACTGAGCCACCTTCCCAGCCCCTGAAGAGAGTCTTAATATATTGTGCCTCAGGATTATTGTCAAGAAGTTCAATGTCATCACTATGCTTTATTCATATGTAATGAGATCTTTTTTCTGGGAAAATTTATTAGCTTCTCATTATTCCAAGATTTTGGTGGGGGTGGTTATGGTATACTGTAGAATATGGTATACTGTACAGGTGTGTGTGTGTGTGTGTGTGTGTGTGTGTGTGTGTGTACTGAGACTAGATTTCAGAAATGGAGTGCTGACCCTTGGTTTTCTCACCAAAGTATGACAGACATTATACAACTTAAGTTTAGAGTTCCATTTCTGGCTTTGTGGTGGTTAATTGGATATAAGAATCTGTTGGACTTCGTTGGCCACAATGGTTTTGAGTGATCCTCAGATCCATCCCCTGAGTGCTAGGATCACAACCATACGCCATTGGAGCAAATAGACCGTTAATTTTTCTTCATGACTACACTTTTTTAGAGATCAATATGAAAATCCTGAAAATCCAGGCTGACAGCAAATTTCTTAGCTTGACCTTACAACAGTCACTTTTGATTTTCTGTACCTTAGTGCTGTGGTTAGTAGCATAAAGTTCAGCAACATACATGTTCCTAGTGAGTTTTTATTGTGGTGTAGAAATATTTCAGGGTGATATTGGGAGCAACTTTGTTGGCCTTTTCCCATCCTTTAATTTACAACCTCTTAGATTTGATAGGTTTAGCTGGTTGCTGGTGGGCCACCCCTGTTTTCAGCTATTTAGGAGGCTGAGATCTGAAGATCAAAGTTCAAACAAGCTGGGGCAAGAAAGTCCAGGAGACTCTTATCTCCAATTAACTACCCAAAACACCAGAAGCAGAGCTGTGACTTGAGTGATTGAGTGTTCAACTGGAGCAAAGCAGCTCAGGAATAGAGTCCAGACACTGAGTTCCAGTCTCTATAATTGATGGGTTTAGAAAAGGGTGGATCAGATTAAATAGGATTTGGGGCAAGCAGGTGGTTCTGTGGTTTGCTCCGGTGGGTAGGTCTGAGTGGGTGGGTGGCGCTGCTCCTCTATAAAATCCCGCAGGCTCCATAGACCTTCCTGTGGAGTGCAGCTCTCCCGGAGATACCTCTCTCTGTGAGCATCGCTGCCTTCATCCGGATCAGGTGTCTGCTGGAGGAAGATCACACTCAGTGGCCATTTCCAGGAAGAAAGTCTTGACTCTGCCAGCTTGCTTGTCTCCCCAGGGTCCACTCTTGCCAGCTGGGTTCAAGGACAGAAGCTAGGGAAGAAACTCACCAAGCTACAGGTTCTGGACCCTGGTCACCAACTGGAGTCATTCTGGTAAGTCAGCCAGCCTTGGCTGACTTTTGGGGAAGATTCTGCCTTCCAGAAGGGAAAGCAGTTTGTGTCTTTATATACGTATCTAAGAGAGAAGCAGCCACTGACGCTTCTCCGGAATCTGAACGCCTCTCGGAGCTTGGGCCATTGCAACAACCATGGAGTCTGACGAGGCTGCTCCCCAGAACCCGAGCTGCAGCATCATGACCTTCCGTCCAAGCATGGAAGAATTTGCAGACTTCAACAAATACATCGCTTACATGGAATCGCAGGGAGCACATCGAGCTGGGATCGCCAAGGTGGTGCCCCCGAAGGAGTGGAGAGCCACGCGGTCCTACGCCCAGATCAAGGGCATGCTGATCGCCACTCCGCTGCAGCAGACCGTGTCCGGAAGGGCAGGTGTCTTCACCCAATACAACCAGCAGAAGGAAGCCATGACGGTGGAGCAGTACCAACGTCTGGCGAACAGTGAGACCTATCGCACCCCAGCGCACCTGGATTTTGAAGATCTGGAGCAAAAGTACTGGAAGACGCGCACGTATGGTTCGCCACCGGTTTATGGTGCCGACGTGAGCGGCTCCCTGTTCGAGGAGAGCACGGAGGCGTGGAACATCGGCCGCCTGGGGACCATCCAGGACCTGCTGGAGCAGGAGTGCGGGCTGGTGATCGAGGGCGTGAACAGGCCCTACCTGTACTTCGGCATGTGGAAGACCACCTTCCCTTGGCACACGGAGGACATGGACCTGTACAGCATCAACTACGTGCACTTCGGGGCCCCCAAGACGTGGTACGCGGTGCCCCCCGAGCACGGCCCGCGGCTGGAGAGCCTGGCGCAACAGCTGTTTCCGGGCAGCGCGCAGGGCTGCAAGGCCTTCCTGCGGCACAAGCTGGCCCTCATCTCGCCTCGTGTGCTGCGGGACACTGGCGTCCCCTTCGGTCGAATGACCCAGGAAGCTGGAGAGTTCATGGTCACCTTTCCCTACGGGTACCACGCTGGCTTCAACCACGGCTTCAACTGCGCCGAGGCCATCAACTTTGCCACGCCGCGGTGGGTCGACTATGGCAAAGCGGCCTCGCAGTGCAGCTGCGGGGAGGCCAGGGTCAGCTTCTCCATGGATGTCTTCGTGCGCACCCTGCAGCCCGAGCAGTACGAGCAGTGGAAACGCAGGCAAGGCCCGGAGCTGGAGCAGCGCGCAGAGCCCGCGGGGCCTGCCAGGCGCGAGCCCAAGTCCAGGCCGAAGCAGAAGGCCAGCACCAAGCCGCCCAGGCCAGGGCGCACTTCCACAGCGGACCCGAGGCCCACAGCAGAGGCGAAGCCCAGGCCCGAGCTGAGGCCCAGAAAGAAGCCAACCCTGAGGCAGGTGCCAGGGCCTAGGCCACTGCTGACAGCAAGCCCGGAGATGTCGCCCGAACCCGAGCTGCCCCCCACAAGCAAGCTTACGCCCACAGCGGAGATGGCAGCACACAATCTCCATGACTGTGCCCTGCTTACTGTGCCTGATGCAAAGCCTCTGAGAAGCTTCCTGGAATCTGATCACTGTGTGGCTCCTGGGACCTGGCCAGAATTGTAGCCGTGAGCCTCATGGCTGCCCTCAGCATCCTGCCTCCATAGAAGCTGCTAAGATCTTCTGTTTCCTGACTGCAAAACCAGACAAACTTGGACCTATGAGTTTCGAGATACTTGCCATCAGTAAGTGGTCCTGTCTCTTTGAGCATAGATATTGACTGTACTATAAATGGGATGTGGCTGTCCTCTGACCTTAAGGTCAGACTTAAGCACCATTCAGGCTGGCATTATCCAAAGGCACGTTTTCTTTGAAATGACCTACTACTTTATCACACTGACATTGGGCCTGCCACTGACTACTGATGTGGGATTCCCATACCATGATGCCATGATGCCATGATGCCAAAGGAACTGGTCCTTCACTCAGGACATCTCGGCATGCCCTGGACACAGATGAGCCTGTCAGGACAGTGATGTCAACCAATTCATGTTGCCCCTACCAAGCTCAGGAATCTTCTCTTGTAGGGCTATGGGCCCTGCTCCCACAGAGTTGGGGCTATATTGGCTGATGCTGAAACTCCAACTGGACTTCTTTTTCTCCAAGTTGCCTCTGGGCCTTTAGCCATTTACCCTGGATTCTACTGACCAGGACTGCAGCCACAGAGGGCCAAGAGCAAGTCGAGGTCCTACCATTATAACCTTCCCTGCAGGGCACCACCAACACAGCCCAACAGGATGAAACTAGAATTTTGTATAAATTGAAATTAGGAGTCAATTTTTTTTCCTCTGTATTTCTTTGTAGTGTTGGAACTCTTTAATAAAGGTGTTAGACGAATATGGGGGTCACATGAAAATTCATAGTGAAAATTGGTGGGATGAAGGTGTGAACTCATTCAGCCCTAATACTTACTAGACACAATGTTGGAAATGAACTATAGGAGTTGGGAAGGAGGAGCATTGGGAGCAGTAAAAAGGGGAGGAAGTGAAGAAGAGATGACATAGTCTAAAAGGAAATGTACTGTTTACTTGATTTCTGTAACAAGAAACCCTCTGTAAATCACCCATGCAATAAAATTTAACTTTTAAAACGGCATCGTTAAGTTTGTTCTGTTAGGTCACCCAATTTTAGGTACTAAGAATGCTGAGCTCTGGAAGATCATGATTTCAATCCTTCCTGGACTGGAAGGTCTGGAGACTCCACTTTCTATTCACCAGCAAAAGTTTGGGTTGGAGTTGTAGTTCATGTGGTACAAAGCTTGGTGTGAGCAAGAGAAATCCTCTGCTCTCATGAGACTTTGATTTCAAATTCAGTACCAATACATGCACACATACACAGATGTAGGCATATGGGTGCACTCGCTCACATACCCACACACACACACACACACACACACACTATCTCCAGAATTACGTAATGAATCTATTTAGGCATAGTGATTTGGATAGGTTGAAAACTAAGAGACTGCGAAACTCTATTCTAAGGAAAGTACAAACAAAAGAAACCAGAAATCAACTGATCAAAGAAATTAGGCACCAAACTTACATATAGTACTTTATGTAATATAAAAGTATATTTTGCATGAAAATATACAAGTCAGAACTAGGTATCTTTCCAAGCATGAGCAAATAGAAGGTATAGCAGATCCTTTATGGGAATGCTGAATGGAGCCCAACAGAAGGAAGGAGAGTCAAAAAAAACCATAACCAATCAACTAAGTGATTTGTGAATAAACACTGAACACCACATTAAGGAAGTAAAGAAGTTCATACAAGATCTAAAACAAAGCTCCAACAAAGAATTTGAAGCCATCATAGCCTACCAATTAGAAGGAAAATAAATAAAAAACAAAGTAGAAAATCTTGACAGTAGGTTAGACCATGGAGAAGATCGAATCTTGGGCATTGAAGACAGCCAAGATATTATAGAGAAAGAACATACAACTATCCAAGACAAATCCAAGAAATATGATAGATCCATTCAACACTTGGAACACACCATCAGAAGGCCTAATCTGTGGAGAATATGTGTAGAAGAAGATAATGGTCTAGGAAATTTGTTTAACAGAACCCTAGCAGAGAACTTCCCAAACATGCAAAAAGATAGGCCTATTCAGATACAAGAAGCTTTGAGAACCCCTAATCGATGAGACCAGAACAGGATATCCCACCATCACATTACAATCTGCACAGGATCAATTCAGAGGAAGGAAAAGATCCTTGAAGCTGTCAAGAAGAAAAGATCAGTCAACTATAAAAGGAAACCAACTAGAATTACCTCAGATTTCTCAGCAGAGACAATTAAAGCAAGAAAAGCCTGGAATGATGTATGCTATGCCCTAAAGACAAACAACTCTCAACCAAGAATACTGTACCCAGCTAAACTCTCCTTCATAACCAAAAGTCAAATCAAAACCTTCCATAGCAAAGAAAAACTGAAACAATATATTTCCACCAAACCAGCTCTACAGAAGATACTTAATAATATCCTACACAAGAAAATCAACAAGACAACAATAAAGGCCAAGAAACCACACCCCAATTGAGAATCCAAGAACCATAGGAAGAACCAAGTTGTCCCAGCCCCTAGGAAGGTGGATAAAATGGCAGGAACTCCCAAATACCTCTCAGTCCTATCTCCCAACATTAACGGACTTAACTCTCCAATTAAGCGACATAGACTGTCTTGTTGGATCAAAAAGCAAGATCCTTCTATCTGCTGCCTTCAGGAGTCATACTTTGCTCATAAAAACAGACACATTTTGAAAGTGAAAGGCTGGAACAAAACCTGTCAAGCAAATGGGCCCCATAAACAGGCAGGAGTTGCAATCGTAATATCTGATAAAATAGACGTCAAATTAAAATTAGTGAGAAGAAGAAGGTCGCCACATACTAATTAAGGAGGAGGATATTACAATTCTAAATATCCATTGGCCAAACAACAGAGCACCCAAATTTATCCAAGAAACACTGCTTTCCCTCAAATCTCACATGGATCCAAAGACATTAATTGTTGGGGACTTTAACACACCACTATTCACACTAGATAGATCAACTCTGCAAAAACTCATCAGAGAAACTGCAGATCTAAACAACTGCATAGATCAACTAGATTTAACAGACATCTAGCGAACAGTTCACCCAGCTCGTTTTTCTCAGCAGCACATGGAACAGTTTCCAAAATAGGACACATGTTTAGGTCACAAAGCAAACTTGTCCAAATTCAAATTATACCTTGCATTCTCTCAGACCACAAGGGAATAAAATTAGAACTCAACACCAAAAGCCATCAAAGGAAGTCCTGTAACCCATAGAGACTGAATAACACATTGTTGAGTCACCAGTGGGTCACGGAAGAGATGAGAAAGGAAATTCAAATGTTCATGATATTCAACAAAAATGAACACACAAATTCCCAGCTCCTCTGGGAGACAGCAAAGGCTGTACTCAGAGGCAAGCTTATACCTCTGTTTATAACAACACCCCTTTATGATGAGGGATCTGGAAAATATAGGAATCCTGTGACCATTCCTCAGTACAATAAAGGCTGTATATGACAAACCTACAGCCAACATTATACTTAATGGTGAAAAACTAAAGCCATTTCTTCTTAACTCAGGAACGAGAAAAAGATGTCCACTCTCTCCACTTCTCTTCAATTAGTATTAGAATGCCTAGCTATAGCAATAAGACAAGATGCAAACATAAGAGGGATCCAAGTAGAGAAAGAGGAAGTAAAAGGCTTCCTCTTTGCAGATGACATGATATTATTTTTGAAGAATCCTACAGACTCCACTCCAAAATTACTCAAGCTGATTCAAAACTTTGGCAAAGTAGAGGGCATAAAATTAACTCTCAAAAATCAATCTCTTTTCTGTATGCCAACAATGAGAAAAGCATGGCTGAAATCAGGAAAGCAACTCCATTCGTAAAAGCCCCGCAAAAAGTAAAATACCTAGAAATTAACTTAACTAACGAAGTGAAGGACCTCTATGATTATCACTTTAAAAACCTGAAAAAGAAAATCAAAACAGAACTTAGAAAGTGGCAAAACCTCCCATGCTCCTGGATTGGAAGGATCAACAACATGAAAATGGCAATACTTCCCAAGGCTATCTACCAATTCAATGCGATACCTATCAATATTCCAACCTCATTCTTCAAGGAAATAGAAGAGGTAATACAAAAACTTATATGGAACGATAAAAGACCCATAAGAGCAAAAACGATCCTTAACAGAAAGAACAGTGCTGGAGGAATATCAATACCAAATTTCAAACTCTACTACAAAGCCATAGTAATCAAAACAGCTTGGTACTGGCATAAAAACAGACCTCAGAACCAATGGAATAGAATTGAAAACCCAGAAATGAACCCCCAGACATATAGCCATCTAATCTTCAATAAGTTTGCTAAAAGAAATAGAATGGAAGAAAGACAGCCTCTTCACTAAATGGTGCTGGCAAAAGTGGTTAATCACGTGTAGAAAACTAAACCCATATTTTTTATATCACCCTGTACCAGAATCAACTCCAAAGTGATCAATGACCTCGGAGTCAAAGCAGTCACTCTGACAACATTACAGGATGGAATAGGAGAAACCCTAGGACTCCTTAGCACAGGCTGAAATTTTCTTAGTAGACACCCAGAAACACAACAAATCAAAGAAAGGTTGGACAAATGGGATTGCATGAAAATTCAGAGCTTGTGCATACAAAGATATAGCTAGCAAGATCAATAGAAAGCTCATAGATTGGGAGAAGATCATCACTAGCCATACAATGGACAAGGGTCTCATATCTAAAATATACCTGGAACTCAAAAAAATTAAATCCCTGAACAACAAATTCTCTAAGAAACAACTGCCCAATAAATAAGTGGGCTAAAGACTTAAAGAGAAACTTCTCTGAAGAGGAAAGAAGGACGGCCAATAGACACATGAAGATATGCTCACCTCTCTAGCCATAAAAGAAATGCAAATCAAAACAACATTGAGATACCACCTCACCCCAGGTAGAATGGCTATAATTAAGAACTCTAATAACAACAGATGCTGGAGAGGATGTG